AGGGACTCGAGTCCTAATATAAGGGGAGGAAGAGGGAAAATAACAGGTAACAGGATACTGGCCAGAAGGGGGCGCTCCAGGGCTGTAGAGCTAATTCCCAGAGTGAGCAGCAGGAGGCGCCACAGTGGTGAGTCGCACCCCGTTACAGTCTTCCTGTCATTCTTTGTCATCCATAGCCCTGTCAGGCTTGTCCAACACAGAGGACGGCACCATCCCCTCGCCAAACAAGCCAGCCCGTGCGGCACCGAGCACAGTTTGGACACTACTACAAATTACAAAGAAATAACAATAATAATTTCAAACCAATTCCTTGTCTCTGTCTAGGCTTGGAAAGATTCTATATTTTTAAAAAAATCATTAAATCTGTTTAAACGCCGATTTCACCATAAATACCCAAATTGGTGAAAAAAAAATCCATTGCTGATAATTGACAGATACAGAACTTTCTTGAGCAGCTACTAGACTCTTAGATAATTGTCTGACACTACCACAACTTTCATGCCACTACAAACGTAAATCAACAGAAATACCTCAAAATGCATAAAAATAAACACAGATATTGTCTGTTAAAATCATTAACAAAATTAAAACATGAATTCTGCCCATCCGATTTACAGCTGTGCTGCCTTCATACTTCTTTGCCAGAGTGCTTTGATATGAATATAACATAGCAGGTTATTAATAGCCAAGCAGAGAGATTAGTTGCAAGTCTAACTTACGCCACACAATTAAAATGTTTCCGGTTTCAGTAAAATTAGCAGTTTATAATCAGCATCTTTGACTATTCAGAAGAGAGTAGGGCCTGAAACCTTACATAAATGAGAACAGAGTTTTATAGATTTAAAATTGCCTGCTCTTGGGCATAACGAAACAATACGTACAAGATGAATTGCATCAAAGTCTGATTGGAAGAAATGCTCAACAAAACCTTCCCCATCTCTCCCTCCTTGCCCCACTTATATTATTCCATTTACTCACAAAATGAGATTTAAAATTCCAGGGATAAAATGTGTGCTATTCCCCAGCTAAATGTTTATTTTCAGTCTGTTTTATATGCCCACATATCATCTATTCTCATGCATGCTTTGAAAACATTCATGCAAATTTCTGCATATATATATGTATGTATCTCCACTCCAATTCATCTGATGAAGTGGGTTTTGCCCACGAAAGCTCATAATTCTATGTACCAGAGAACCTCTTGTTGTTTTTAAAGTTACAGACTAACACAGCTACCCCTCTGAGTTTTCTTACTCATGCATTATGTGTATTTACACTCATACATCCCTGTTAATGCAAAGTATAGGTGAGCATTCAGACACCTCGATGACATTTACTTTGTTGGATTTTAACAAAGAACACGGGCGAACCCTGTTTCACCAAAACGTATTAGGGACACCTGGTAAAACAAGGCTTGGCTAGAAGAAGAGTAATTTAGCGGGTATCCGGTTTAGTTTCACATACAAGGGAGAATCTTTTCGCAGGGATTTGGACACACGGGATTTGGCTTTTACATGTCAGGCTCTATGAAACCTGCAGAAGGAGATCCTCCAATTGATGCAACCTTGCACAGCCAGGAGTGCTATTGAGAGAGAAGCTGCCAGCGCTGCCGTCCTTTTCCAGCAGCAGCGAAGCTTGGCCCTTTGGATTACCCCAAATTCTTACAGTCACTCCTTGGTTTTCCCACACGCGCCCAACCCATCCCCAACTTGGGCCAATGGTTCATAAAACCTGGCACTGCAGAAAGGCTAGGCTTATATATTTTTGGCCTCCTAGGGCTGCCCTACCTCTCAGAACCATGGAAAAAAATGCAATTTACTTAATTAACAGCATATAGCAGCTGCGACTCTCTCACTGAAGAAAAACGTGGAGCGGTTACAGGCAGCACCCTCTCCTGGCAAAAATGCTGCTTTTTCTCACAGGTTTGTCTCTGCACATACTGGAAAAACCCTGCCCTTTTTAGCTGGACATGGCAGTGAAAAGGAACAGCCACTAACATTCACTAGGAAGTCAGCAAAATGCCTAGTAACCTCTATTTAAAGGGATGAGCCGCTGCTTGCAAATCAACCCTCTGTCACTGGCGGGACGGAGCCTGTGTTACTATCTGTCTGTCTGACTCCTTGTGAGAGGGGGTGCGAGGCAGGGAGAAGAGAGGCGGGCCTTGTCTAAGCAGCTTTCTGGAGGAAGGACCCCTCTCCCCTGGCCTCTGCTTGAACGAAAGCAGGGACAAAAAGCAATGACCAGGCAGAAGACCTGCCTGAACCCCTCCGACAAAGGTGACAGGATTAAGTAACGCCCCCTCCCCCAGCCCTGTGTGCGTAGACGATGGGAGAGGGAGGCATCTCCATTAGCGCACAAAGTGGAGGACAGCAATCCCATGCGAAAAACTGCACTGAACTCTGGGACACAGGCAGCAGGGACTCAGTGCCTGATGGGAAATCTTTGCTCTGGATGCTAGCGAACCCGCACCCAGATGAGTCATTACCAGACCGAGTCTAATCATCAATCCTCTAGCGCTGTCCGAAATACTGAAGCTGCCAAATTGCGTTATGAGTTCTCTCAAAGGAACACCCCTCGCAGCCAGGAAAGATTGTTCCCTATTGTGTAGCCCGGGGTGGGGAACCTCTTTGGGTCGGGGGCCGCTGTCCCACAGAAAAATCCGTCAGGGGCTGCGGGGAGGCAGCAGTGGGGCTGGAGTGCCAGCACAGGCTCCCTACTACTGGGAGGGAACCCCTAAGCCTAGGGGACAGATCCAGGCAACCCAGCGGCCACATATAGCCCCCGGGCCTTAGGTTCCCCACCCCTGGTCTAGCCTAATTAAACTTTGGAATACTCCCTTGAATCAACCGTTTACCCATAAATACATCTCAAGTAAAGTGTTCTGATGCGTGGATCTGAAGTCTGCATCGGTTCTAATGAAGTGAGTTTTGCCCATGAAACCTCATGAGCTAGATAGATATATGTGTTAGTCTCTAAGGTGCCACTTGTTTTTAAAGTTCCTTTGGGACGTCCCCTTCCCCTGACTGTACTCTGCTCTGCCTATCTCCAGCACGCCAGATCCCCAGCTACCATCACCATCTGGAAACCCCGATCAGTTCAAACTTCACACAGGGGTGACGTCTCTCTCTCTCGCTCACTCCAGGAATAGCCTCCTGACCAGCCTTGAGCACCATCGGAGCATGGGCGACTGTTCCAGGAAAGCTGCAGAAGTGTTACTGACTTGCTCCCATAAGAACTAGGGGCACCAAATGAAATGAACAGGTAGCAGGTTTAAAAGAAACAAATGGAAGTTTTTCTTCATACAGCACACAGTCAACCTGTGGAACTCCTCGCCAGAGGATGTTGGGAAGGCCAGGACTTGAACAGGGTTCAAAAAAGAGCTAGGTAAATTCATGGGGGTTAGATGCATCAATACTTATTAGCCAGGATGGATAGGAATGGTGTCCCTAGCCTCTGTTTGTCAGAAGCTGGGAATGGGAGATAGGGGAGGGATCACTCGATGATTTCCTGTTTTGGTCACTCCCTCTGGCGTGTCTGGCATTGGCCACTGTCGACAGACAGGACCCTGGGCTGGATGGACCTTTGCCCTGACCCGGTACGGCCGTTCTGATGTTCTTATGTCTCTGACCTTGCTGTCTCTCACTCCGTGTGGCCTCTCTCCACGCGGTTCCTTTATTACTGTATGTGGCTTTATTGAAATCCCTTTTGGTCACCTGGTTTCTTTTGTTCTCATTCTGCAAAGTTTCCACTTCTCCTTCCCTTCTCCCTTCCTTTTGAGGGTAGGCCACACTTGCTTTCCAGGGCACGAGCGGCATTTTAGCAAAAACTTTGTGAGGGCTGAGAACGATACCATCTGAAGTGTTTCCCCCATCCTTGTCTGGTATGCTCCTGCTGAGGCCCTATCAGCAATGATGGAGCCATGTAGGCTATGTCTACACTATGAGCTTTCTCTGCAAAAAAATATGCAAATGAGGGGCTTATTTGCATGAGTCGCAATCTCATTTGCATATTTTCTCTCGATCCATTTTTGCTCTGGGGTTTTTGTGCAAAAACAAGCAGTGCAGACATTTTCTTTTTGTGCAAAACCCCTTTTTCCCGCAAGATTGGTATACCTCCTTTTTGGGGGGCATAAGGATCTTGCAGAAAAAGTTTTTTGCGCAAAAAGAAAACGTCTACACTGCTTGTTTTTGTGCAAAAACCGCAGCGCAAAAAAGGATTGGCAGAAAATATGCAAATGAGATCACAACTCACGCAAATGGGCGCCTCATTCGCATATATTTTGCAGAGAAAACTCGTAGTATAGACGTAGCCATACAGTTACACACACAGGTTTAGGCAGGTTTTTTTTACAACACAACTTTCCAACACTAGCAGGAATTCACAAGTTGTCCTGAAATGTTCCCACATTCATCCCCTCCCCACCACTGAACCGCCTGGGAGTCAATAATGGATTTATCCTCCCCGCTCCTCGTTAAGGTAGGGAACGATCATCATCCACACCTTACCAAGAGGGAAACTGAGGCACAGAACTAAAGTCTCACAGGAAGGACAGAACAGAAACAGAATTGATCCCCTGGCGTCTGAGTTCCAGTCAGTGCTTAACCCATTAGCCCATCCTTCCGCAAAACGGTTGTCTAGAAGCCTTTATCACATTTGTTTAGAGAAGTAGCATGGGAAATATAATCACTCTCGATATTATCCTTTACCGGGGGGTTTAATATACAAGTCTGAAAGAAAGAGCAGAACAAACAGGACCCTCATTGCCTTTTCGTCCAGTCTGGAAACCTCTCTCAGGATTCATCAAATGAGCCGAGCATCTAACACACCCGGTAAGTTGGGCGGGAGAAACATTTTCCCACTTGGGAAGCAAATTGCTATGGCTGACTTGGTCTTAAGGAATCTCAAACTCGCCCACCTCTTGTTTGAGCACCAGGAACAGGCAGCTAACAGCCCATCCCAATTCTGTCCTGTCTGGGCAGGAAACACATGGCCCCTCTTACCTGCACACTGAAAGCGGCTTCATCCGTAGGGGGTGGGGGAAGAAAGGCACCAGGAGGAGCTGGGTAGTTTCTGAGATCATCTCCAGGAAGCGGCGGTGGCGGCGGCGGCGGCAGGGGGAAATCTACAACAAATAATCACAGGATTTAGGCCCAAGATGATATAAATGAAGTTCAAGAGGCAGGGAGGGGGAAATGGCCAGCCATTGTAGCAGGAGTCTGGGCCTCAGGCATCCTTGAGTTCCAGTTCCAGGCCTGCCACTTACTAATGGTGTGATCTGGAGCAAGTCATTTAAGTGTGCCGTGCCTCAGTTTCCCCCAGCTGCCAAAAGGAGCTAATATCAAGCACTTATTGCAACAGGCTGGATCATGGAAGTCCCCCCAGTAATGTCACTCGGTGCGCTGATCAAGCCAGTGAGTCCAACTTCCTGCCTTCTGGGGCTCCCCACCATCCTGTCCTGCTAGGCCAGAAGCTCTGGTGTCCCCCAGCCAATGCACAAAGTTGGGGTTACTGCCCTCTACAGAGCAACACAGACACTGAACCGGTTCAGCTGTGAGACAACGCAGCTGTAAGGTCGCTGACAGCACCCAGAAAACCAATCCCCAAAAGAGACCAAAACCCCAAATAAATCCATCTTACTTTGTGTAAAAGTTTTACAAAGAGAAAGCTCATAAAGGCATTCACCCTCTTTAACAATGAAAGAGAGAGATGCACACTGGCTGCTTTCCTCCTACCCCAGTAACGATTATTTGCACTGGGCTTGATAGTAAACAAAAACATTTTTATCGAGTATTAAAAGTAGAATTTAAGAGACTGCAAGTGAAAACAGACAGATCAAAGTAAGTTTCTAAGTTAAACTAAACAAAACCTTGAGGGTGCATAACTGGCTGGATAACCATTCTCAGGGAGCAGTTATTAATGGTTCAAAGTCATGCTGGAAGGGCATAACAAGTGGGGTTCCACAGGAATCGGTGATGGGATCGATTCTGTTCAATATCTTCATCAACGATTTAGATGATGGCATACAGAGTATGCTTATTAAGTTTGCAGATGATATCAAGCTGCGAAGGACTGCAAGTGCTTTGGAGCATAGGGTCATAATTCAAGATGATCTGGACAAACTGGAGAAATGATCTGAGGTAAATAGGATGAAGGACAAATCCAAAGTGTTCCACTTAGGAAGGGACAATCAGTCTCACACATACAGAATGGGAAGCATCTGTCTAGGAAGGAGTGCGACAGAAAAGGATCTAGGGGTCATAGTGGATCACAGGCTAAATATGAGTCAACAGTGTGACGCTGTTGTAAAAAAAGAAAACAGGATTCTGGGAGGCATTAACAGGAGTGTTAGGAGCAAGACAAGAGAAGTCATTCTTCTGCTCTACTCTGCACTGATAAGGCCTCAGTTGGAGTATTGTGTCCAGTTCTGGGTTCCATATTTGAAGAAAGATGTGAGGAAAATGGAGACGGTCCCGAAAAGAACAACAAAAATGATTAAAAGGTCTAGAAAACATGACCGATGAGGGAAGATGGAAAAAACTGGGCTTGTTTAGTTTGGAAAAGAGAAGACTGAGAGGGGACATGATAATAGCTTTCAAGTATGTAAAAAGGTGCTAGGAGAAGGGAGAAAAATTGTTCCTCTTGGCCTCTGAGGACAGGACAAGAAGCAATGGGCTTAAACTGCAGCAAGGAAGGTTTGGGTTGGACATTAGGAACAAATTCCTAACTGTCAGGGTGGTGAAACACTGGAATGAATTGCCCAAGGGGGATGTGGAACCTCCATCACTGGAGACTTTTAAGAGCTGGTAGGATAGACATAGATCATGGATAATCTAGATGATGCTAGGTCCTGCTGTGAGGGCAGGAAACTGTACCTGATAATCTCTCGAGGTCCCTTCCAGTTTTAGCTTTCTATGATTCTAGGAAAAGATACCAGCCAATTCTACAAAAATCGCACCCTTCCTACCTGACATAAGGCTTTTTTAAACAAACTCCTGGCTTCATTGCACACTCCTGACAGACATCTGCAAATCTGCACCCTGCTAGCTAGACGTGGAAGGATTAGGTTTGCATCAGTACACGTTGGTAGACATTGATTTTGCTGCACGTGCTCAAACTGACCAAAATATTTCCATCAACCACCGACATTCCCAGGTAGGCAAAGTATGAAAACTTGAAAGTTTATGATTCACTTTGTATATGCTGACATGTGACACGGACTCCTTCCCCACTCATAATTTCATGTGATTGTGGGAAAAAACCTGAAGAAATACATGCTCAAAACCAAACATCGATATCTGTCAAAATCATAACCAAATTTACATAGAATTCTGCCAAGCCTATTAATTGTCATGGAAGGAATGCTGTACGTTTCAGCAAAGCAGAAGATCCCTCCCCCACCCCGCACCACCACCACCTTCCCCTTTTCTAGTACTTCTTTGAAAAAGAAGTTTAGACATTTCATGAGTGTACTTGACAAACATACACTGAAAGAATATTTCAAAGTCCTCATACACCTGTAATGAGAAAGGGTCCATTAAACTTCCTGGGAACATTTAAATTTTTGCCACTGGGTATGTGAAAATCTCCAAATCAGTGGCACGTTGAGATGTATTAAGTTCAGGTTGGATCTGCCTGGTCCGGCACCCTCAGGATCCAACCAGTCCCAGATGAGCGATTTTGCCGGACCATATGAGATCTTGCTGTTCTCCCAGCTACCACCTGCTTCCATCCCCCACCCCTGAGTTGGCTACCGGACAGAGGCCGGCTTCCCTCCCCCACCACTGCTGCCACGCATTGGGCCCCCAGACTGGTCAGGTAGTCCTGCTATGGTGCACCACACTTCCTGGCCCTGCAGGACTCCTAACCACCAGCCCTCCACCGGGACTCTGGTCCTGCAATATCTGTGCCGGTCCATGAATGTTGCTGGACCAGCAATCCCAATTAATCTACGTTCACCCTGTATTAGCATACCAGACACACCTCTCACTTCATATGGAAAGACTGCCACATGGACACAGATTAAAAAAACTGGGTCATTTCAGCTTAGAAAAGAGGAGACTAAGGGGGGATACGATAGAGGTCTATCAAATCATGACAGGTGTGGAGAAAGTGAATAAGGACAAGTTATTTACTTGCTCCCATAACATAAGAACTAGGGGTCACCAAATGAAATTAACAGGTAGAAGGTTTAAAACAAACAAAAGGAAGTTTTTCTTCACACAGTGCACAGTCAACCTGTGGAACTCCTTGCCAGATGATGTGGTGAAGGCTAAGACTTTAACAGGGTTCAAAAAAGAACTAGATACATTCATGGAGGTTAGGTCCATCAATACTACTTAGCCAGGATGGGTAGGAATGGTGTCCCTAGCCTCTGTTTCTCAGAGGCTGGAAATGGATGACAGGGGAGGGATCAGTTGATGATTCCCTGTTCTGTTCACTCCCTCTGGAGCATCTGGCATTGGCCACTGTCACTAGACAGGACACTGGGCTAGATGGACCTTTGGTCTGACCAAGTGTGGTCACTCCCATGTTCACTCATAGCCCATCCATGCAAACACACAGAATCCTATTGGGCACTGATGGTTTTAAACACTGTGTGGCTAAAAGCATCTGCAGGACTGGGAGTATAAAAAATGCCCCCCCTCCCTTTTTTTTTTTTAAAGGGAAATCTCTTTGCCAATCAGGAATCAAACTGTGTCAAAGCAAATGGCTTCCACTGACTAACACAACTGTTACTGTGAGATTCTAAATCTGGGAAGAAATTGCAGTATGGTCTTTTCCCGACATGTACACGTTCATCTGCTTGGTTAGAAGAGAAAAATCAAAACAAAAAATCGTTCCGGGAAAGAAGCAATTTCTTCTTACTGAAACAAATCAACCAACCCAACAGAATTCAGGCTCATGTGCCCAGATCAACTGACCGACAATGGAAACCTCCAGGATAGATGTTTTTCATTAGTCTCCTATTATCATGAGTATGTCGAGTTCTGACGTCGGGTTAGTGCTGATTAGTGATATCCGGAGAAAAATGTCTTCTGTTGATTCTCAGAACAGAAAGGGCACAGAACAAGATTGCTCTCTGTTGGCTCCTCCTGCCCCCTCTCCATGTGAATATTTAAGGATGGGTATAAGGGATATGCAGGCTCCAATGCCAAGCCCTTAGCCTCTGCCAAAGAAGATGGAATAAAGGCCCAATTAGCTGCAGTTGTATTATGGTGGTTTTTAGAATTATATCACTGAAGACTGCAAGGGAAGTTGCAAGCTATCACTTTGAGAGAGAGAGAAAGAGAGAGAGAGTCTTCCTGGTCCTGTCTGCAGGCAAAGGGACTCTGTGGGGAAGCAAGCAATTAGAGTTTGACAGTAAACCGATTAAAACATGGTGGGGTATTGCACTGTGGCTCTGTTAGCGAGCCGTCTGCTTTGTCTCTCTCCGATGTGGGGTTCTTGGGTGTTCTGAATGCTAAGAAACCAACCCATGACTCTGAAATCTTTCAGCCCGAATATTGCATAATGTTATTAAACTTCTCCCGGGGCACACCGCAACCATAACGGGAACACGATCACTTACGCATGAGCCCTTATATTGAGGCCCCTAATTCATTTCACATCAGCCAATGAACCTTCAGCAAGCATTGAAGCCTGATCACTCTCTTTCAAACACATGTAGCCCATTATTCTATAGTAATAGCCCAAAGCACGCCTGCAATGCCCTACGGTATCATTAACAACAGTCTGAAATGCTGCAGCTTACAGTAGTGATACCGTACAGGGGCTGCTCTGGATTTGAACAGTGACGTCCAGTGTGATTCTGTATCCCAGTTCCAATCCTATGGACCATCAAAGGTCCCAGTATAAACAAGTCATAGAGTGACTGGCTGCTTGCAGGGGAGCAGTGTCTGCCACACCTGTGCCATAATTAATTTGCTTTCCAGCTTACAGGTATAAGACTAAGATGGTCCTTAATTGATACCTGGGCCTTATTAAAAGACAGAGGCCAGCCTCTGGCTGGAACCACAGGGAGAGAGAAGGCTACTGTGGAAGGCACAGAGCCAAGGTTTGCAAGAAGTGGGGTACACCCAGCAAACCTGCCAAATGGCTCAGGGAGAGACTCTCAAAAGTCAC